AACAGATCACAACCATAAAAAACTTAAATAATAGTTACATTTGTGATTCGGCTAGGTTATAATCCAATCACATTATGTGCACAGCTTGAGTAGTTCATGAAAAGCAAACACATAAAATAATGAAAATACTTAAAATGTCATATAAATATATAAAAGATAAATCTATATAAAAAAAATATTTTCAATCATATTACAAAATAGAAAACAAGTTCTTCCTAAAGAGCAAATATTTTGTACCGAATATGTCGATGGATTTGTGATCGAGCAGTAAGTCGTTATAATGACGACACATCCTTACCACAGGATTGTAATAAGAAAGTAAAGTCATTTCATTTCGTTTCATTTCATAAGTAGGTAGATATAATGTTTACGTAATATTATAATATATATTAATATGTTGTCCGTACAGCACTCGTGCACTTTAACTGCCCGCTAACTACATGCATTTCCATCAGAGATAAGTCTGTTCTTGCTTACAATATTTATAAATGTATTATCTATATAATTTACAAGTGCAATATAGAATATACATATATATTTCTGTTTGAAGGGATATGGCTGGGAAATTACAAGGTATGGATGCAGAGCACTACAAGGAAGGGGATTGTTACAAATGAGTTATAACAACCCCACTGTTAGCAATATACCCTATAAGGTCGACCTCCACGCGGTTTCCCTGGAATAAACCACTGTGGTAGTGGTTTACTGATTCATCACAATGGGTCAGCTGACTTGCTCTCATCCTCCCCTATTATCTCTCACCGGTACCCCACCAGCGTATACCGATAACGCAAGCAGAGTTCTTTTTTTTTATGGGTGAAAATGGAATAGTAACTCCGCCTTTGTTAACGGAATACGCTGGCCGAGCACCAGTGAAGGGTGATAGATGAGAATGAAAACAGGCCAGTTAGCACATCATGATGAATTTATCGGGAATTAACCATGATAGTTTCCAGGGGGAACCGCGAGGATGTCGACCTGGTTGGGTATATTACTAGCAATGGGATTCTTAGTCTTCATTACTAACAATTCCTTTCCCCCACGCAAACGGAGTTACTATTTCATTTTCACCCAATGAAAGCACCACAGCCCTCAGGGACGACATTATTGTACCTGTTGATTGTACCTATATACCCCTATATTGCTTAATTTAAAAAACTTGACTGTGCTCCTAAATAAAAACTTTTTTCAATCTAACTTAAAAAAGAAGAAGATTCTATATTTGATTATTTTTTTTTTAGTTTATTACTTCATAACTCCGTCATTTATAAATCAATTTGAAAAATTCTTTTCATATCTGAAAGGAATAAATTGATCAGTAATATCGTTTTTAAATCAAAATAATTCGTTTTTATTCTTTTTTGTGGAACTAAAAATCATAAATTATTATTGACATATCGTGTAAAAATTAAATTTACTTCAATAAAAATTATTTTTATTTCTTCTTACTAATTCTACCTACATACATATGTAACGATTACAAATTTCCATCAGGTGGGCCGTCAGCCTATTCAAAGTCTTAAGTGACCTGATCTACTAAGAAATGCTATATAATCCCACGGAACTATAAATATCAAATTGCATACAGACATTTAGGTTTTAGCTCTAATATTAAAATACATAATCAGTTCTTGTGTTTTCAAAACCCACACCGGTTATCGAGTTACGAACTCGCGTACCGTATGGAGCAATGCTTATGAGAATAATAACTGAATTTATAGATCCCGTAATAAATTACGTTGCACTGTTGCAGATTGATGAATTGATGGAGTGAAGGATATAAGGAAGTTCCATTTAAGAGCCAATATTAATTGTTATTTATGACGGTATAAAATTCAAGCACTACCTACTTGATATACGGCCGCTTTCGAAGCTTTAATAAAGGAGGTTTTCATTGGATTTTAATATTACTAAAGGAAGACTTTATACAAAAGTCATCCGCTTTAATACCTACCTCTATCCCATTCGTGTTACTGCCGTGATGCAGTTGTATTTGCATGCTGTGTTTTCGTCTGAAGAATGCTTTCGGTAATTGTTCGCCTTAACAACCTGATCTTGTACTGCACAGACAAAACCCTCGGTCTCTCCGAAGAGATTACCGAATTGTAGCTAATGCACGAAGATCTTCATATGTATGCCCTGTGAAGGGCCGAAGCCAAAGTTTTTTAAAAAAACCTGTGCAACTTTTCTTTCTATTTACTGCTGTTAACTGACCACTGCTTAACATAGCAGGGGGGGCGGTTTGCCAGTAGTTACCACGCTTGGCGAAGGAGGACAGGAGGAAGGAGTTGCCATTTCTATACCGGGACTACACGGAAATATTACATACAGTATTGATTGATCATCAGAAAATCAATATTAAACTTTAGACGATAACATAACAAAAAAAAAAACAAAATCGGTTAAAAATTTAATCACATTGAGATTCTAGATTTATTGTTGTTGTTGTCATTAACAAATAAATAAATATTGATTATTCAGTTAATATAAAAAATAAAAAAAAACTTAAATAAAAGATTGCATTTATTTATTTTTGTTTATTCGTTTGTTTTTTCAACTCGTGTGAATAAAGCTTTTTTAATATTATGTAAACGAAGTTACGACTATTAACAAGTGTTTGTATGGTGACCACAGTACAACTGTTAAGAGTATAACTGTCACGATAAATATCACAGGCTATAAATCGGCTATAATAAAGCTACTATTACAACATCACTACAGCAGTACACGTGCACATAAATAAAATCACCGTTGACAAATCAAGTGACACGATCGCTTCCATTTTTGTATGAACAATTGGTATTTCGTATTATCGAAAGTTTCTTCAGTGTTGCCAGGTAGGGTTTTTAATTTTCAACTAATACTTTACATATAAAATTACTTACTTTTACATGCGACTTCGTCCACATAACCAGGGCATACTCACTGATTAACTGATTAGTAAGTAAATATCCTAATCACGCACACGAAGTCGCAAATAAAAGCTATTTTTTTTTTAAATTGAGATTAATTTCTTCATTTTCAACTTACAAAAGAAGAAGGTTCTTAATTCAAAATTTATGTAATAAACATAAAAAATATGCCCGAATTCGAGTCATAACTGCGACAATTGTAAATTTAGTATAATTATTTTTTTGCATAATTTTTGTTTTTTTATAAGCATATTTTTTCAAATAAAAAATTTATTTTCAATTTGGTAAAATTATTTTTTATCTGAAAAGATATGCTTACAAATCTGTAACCGATTTTGATAAAATTTTTATCGAATCAATCGGTCGATAGTTTAGTTTTTATATCAAAATAACTAGTATTTCATTTTACAGCAATTGAATTTTTTTTTTGTGACACAATTTTATTATAACCCTATCACAAACTTGTGCTGGAACTCACAATGATTAGTTAATTTGAAGTATTTTATTTATTTCTGTCATATGGTTTTGCCAATGTAACCACTATACCACGATAAAACTCCGTTCTTTACGTTGATTTATTCCCTTCATATTGTTACCTTAATTTACAATTGTATATTTTACAAAAAACATAATCTATCACTAAATTTACCCAAATTTATTTTACTCCAAAAACTTCGAGAACATACATTTTCCTACAGAAAATTGCGACAAATGCCCGATCACAATAAACAGGGTTGCCACTGTTTAAAGTACTTTACCGTGACGCGCAGTGATATAACTATTGCGTCACGTGACCTGTTACAAAGATATCACAGTTGCTGTTCACGTGATACTTGTGCATCTAAATCCCACGTTCGAATGTTCGCATTGTATTCATGATTTTAGAATTCTTGTAACATTACCATAACCTAGTGTCTGATTGTGATTTGTGATGTAAATAAAGATATTAGATTTTTAATTGGCTATACAACAACGCTTAATTGCTTAATGAAGTCATTAATCTCAAATATGACTTAGAGAAAAATGGCCAGCTAATAATAGTTATTCGATTCATAATATTTTAGAGATCAGATGATTTGTTATTAATTTAAATTTATTGCATTCCTGTACAAGAAATAAAATTATAATATTATATACATATATTAATTAAAATGGCACATTATCAGCGAATAATATGAAAGTTTTTTTTTTTCTAAATAACCACGAAAAATTTTTATGGGTTGCTAGTATTATATGATTCAATTAATTAATTACGTATTATATTTATGTGTCACTAATTTAATTTTGATAATGTTTCTTTGATAATTTTATCAAAACTCGATTACCTTTTCATTAAACTTGTATATAAAAGGACTATAATTAGACGCTCCATCTATGTATTGTTAATCTATGATACATTGCTACACAGGAAAAATCTTACCCTTTCTTTGGCATTAGCGAAAAACGAGATCATCTGCCATATCTTTTTTTTTCTTAGACGCCCCACATTTCCATACGCCGAGACAATCGTAGCGGCAACCTGTCATAGTTTCCACGAGGTTGCATCATCACCACAATACATAGATGATGAGGAAAGTGATCGCGAGATATTCACTGCTTTGTAACAATAATTACAGAGCTAGTGAATACGAAATGCGGCAATTCTTGTTACGACTATGATCTTCGCCATTTCAGATTAGAGATTTAATTAGTTTTTTTTTTTTTATTTAATTGCTTATAATTACCAAATTCTTAAATTCTTTAAATAAAAAAAATCATTACTAACACTACCATTATTATAAATGAGAAATTTTGTGACGATATTTGAATGGATGGAACTACTGAATGTATTTAAATGATATTTGGAACACGGGTAGATTTTATAACATAGACTTACATTATATAGATAGAGTAGGAATAAAAATCATCTAAAAACAGGACACTTAAACTCGTATACTGAATCACGCCAGCAAAGTCGAAGAACTAGTATTATATTATATTTTATTATATTTCGACCTATGACCATTAGGAAAAGGAGATTACGATCAGAGGTTCCCGATATAGAATTTCAACCAAAACCTAAAATTTTTCAAATTAATTACCACTTACTTCATGCTGCGGATTCACATGTCTATTTTTGTGCAAACAACGCAAGGTGAGCGTACCTGAAAATAAATAAACAGACATGATTAAAAATAAATATTCATTAATTCATTTTTAATCGACTTTAAAATGAAAGAAGTTCTCAATTCGGTTGCATTTTTTTATATAAGTTACCTTACAACTCTGTCAGTCAGATATGGAAAATATTTTTTTTTATCTGAAAGGATAAGTATACTTACAGATTAATTTTATAAAAAAAAATATCAACAGTAGTTGTAGTATAGAGTAATTTTGTTCATAAATCAAAATAACAGGTTTTGTCACAATAGTCGGTTTTTTGTGGGATACAATTTTTATTCTATAATAACATGGCATATATAACCATATCAGCCAAGGATAGCACATACCATACATAGATCACAGATCATACATAGGAAGGTCACATACCATCCTAAATGAAAAAGAGGGACACCAACCCATCTAGTAATACGGGTTACCATCTTCAGTACGTACGTAATGAAGATGGTATGTATGTATGGATACTAGTTTCCAATTAGGCTATTATGTCATGCAAAACTACATTAAACCTTTCTTATAAAATACGTGGGAAAACCCATCAAACGCTACATCCTAATAACTGCACAGTCATAAAAACAAACACTCAAAAACTTATTGACTATGTAATGTAAGTTACACTTACGGTACAGGGGATTTCTCATTTCACGTGTATAAATAACTAAACATAACTGTTATAGAATGATTAGCCGTTTCCTTTAACAGTTATTATAAACAGATTTCACATAAAACGATTACCGGAAATAGCTAAATAGTTATCGTAAACGTTAGCAAAATACTTAATGGCAAATATTAGATAAGGCAATTTTTTGTTTCATAAGAAAAAATCTACTTCAACGGTAAATAATTAAAGATTATGTCCAACATAAAAAATTACTACAATTGTGACAAAACTTAAAAATGAATGAATATACTTTATTTGCATTATACAATATAGGGAATAAGCAAGACACTTTACAAACACAACGATACAATTGTATAAGTACAGTAAGGCGGTCTTATTGCTTAGAGCAATCTTTTCAAGATAACCTTAAGGTAATGGACTAATTGTTGTACAAGTAGGTATGATTGTGTGTATAATTAATGTTAAAACATGGTTTTTCGATCTAAAAACTAAACTACGGAAGCGATTTTGATGAATGTTCTACGGGCCTAATTTGAATGTATGTCTTTTTAGAAAAAAAAAAATCCAAATTAGTATAGAACTGACGGGGTTCTGAGTTAAAAAAGTATAACCGAATTGAGAACCTCTTTCCTTTTAAAGTCGGTTCAAAAATGTACATAGATTAAAACCTTCCGATTGAAAAGTTAAATTTTGCTCCACAAAATAGAGGTTTCAAAGGTGAATTCAAACATACCATTGAATGACGAGATGTTTAGCATATATATATATATATATATATATATATATAATTGTATTACTCTTTAATAACAAAGCTTTCTATAAATGAAAGAATTTTTAAAATCTGTTGAGTTTGTTACTCAGATAACTTAAAATGGCAAACAAGCTGACGACCCACCTGATGGAAAGTGGTAACCGTCGCCTATAGACATGACCATGGTACTGCACCATGGACATAATAAATATATAAATAAGAGTATACTGTTTCACCCATGATACCCTCCATGCGTCGCCATTCCTGTGGACTCAGGTGTTATGCCTCTGTACCCTGCCATATCCCACCCTTCAAACCAAAACACAGCCATGTAAACACAACTATTTCACGGTTGAAACACAAATGGGACAGCAGTACCCAAGCAAACGACTTTTGTACAAAGTCTCCCTCTGGTATATATAAACCGACCTCTTCATTTACACCGTCTAATAAAGTGTAAAAAGCAATTTTGTGTTCTCCTATAAAAGGTCATAATACCAACTCAGTACTCGATTTAATGTGACAAAAAATGTCACACTCAAATAGACCACCGGCAACGAAAAGAAAAACCAGCTAATTTCGAGTGACACCGTATCGAGGACTTTGTATAATATCTACTAACAGAATTGGAATAAAAAATACCAGTCTCATGCTCCACTAGTCTCATCTCACAAGACTGAAGTTACCTACCATTTTTTGTATACAATTTAATGTTTAAATATTACCTAACTAGCTTTACATCGCGGCTTCGGTCGTGGTCATATCATTATGATAAATAGCTTATAACCTCCCTTAAGAAATGAGCTATCAAATGCAAAAATATTTTTTCAATACCGACTGATTATCGCGTTTAAGCTCTTTTTCTATATTATATAGTTATTAAATCACGAAGGTATTAGATCAAAGCTGAATTAGAAACACTTCTTAGCATCCGATTATGCTGAAACTTTCCATGCACGTTTAGTTATATTGGTTTCAAAGGAATTTTCTCTCGCAAACGCTCAGGCTATGGAATGAGATCCCTACCGAAGTTTCCCCTAGGGTTCATCAAAAATGGTATATTAAGATTTCCGACACTCCTAGTGTTGCAGGCGTCCATAAGCTACAGTGACCGTTTACCATCAGACGTGATGTATGCTTGTTATACCTTTGTGGTATAAAAAAAAAATAAAAATTCAATATGCAATTGTCAACATTGTAATACTTTCAAAATAGATGTCGCCACAAGATGGCGGATGATGTATTTTCTGTCAACCACATTTATATAGACATCAAATGAAATAGCTTGAACAATATGTAATGACACAATAAATGATATCACTTTAAAATGGCCGCAGCCACATAATGGCGGATTACGAATGCATTAAGAAAGTTTGTTTTAAAAACATATTTTTAAACAGACTCATTGTATGTCCGAGATTCATTGTAACTGTTATAAATAATAGTAATCAAGTAATAAAATTCAACGGATGATACAATAAAAAACTAAAGCGGGGAAAGCTAGACCAGACTAGACTGCCTAATAAGCAAAGTTAACTCGAGATAATTGCCTAGATCGCGTGACCGTCCAGTACAACGGATCAGTTATCTAATAATACCCACTGTAGTACCGCAAATGGCCACCACTTTTTTAACACTTGCATCTTAAAGTCGCACCTATTTATTTACTTAGCATTCGTTCGGTTCAATGAACTTTCACAAACTACTAAAATTGTATTGAAAATGAACTTTATCACTACAGCAATTAGAGCTCTTCTGAATTCATCAAAATTTCTATGAAAGCCTTCGCTTACACTTTAAGTGTGTAAAAGTTTCAATCGTTCTTACATCATTGAAAATAAAGTCGAATCTCCTGTGCATCACAACATCACGAGGTAAAACGTATTTTGTATCGTTTGTTACTAAAATCTACGTACGTGACGAGGCATTGAATGGTTCCTTTCATTGCAAGTCATTCACAAAAACACGATTGCTTTGACACCTTGACTCTATAAAATTGTGTAAATTTACAACAGCGATACCGTACTACGGTCGTATTTCTATCTCTTAATCAATACCAACCAGCTTGTTATACCGTTCAAATTAATATTTATGTATTCTGTAAGCTTTTAGAACCAAATAATTAAATTCACTTCGATATTTCTTTCTTTACCTATGCCTATAATGAGGTACCGCGTTCGTGATTCACTGTTCATCCCGAAGGTTGACTGGTAGAGAATGGTACTAGCATTAGTCCGCCTTTTGTATCTTATTTTATTTTGATTAGTAAAGTTTATTTAAATAAATAAATATTTGTTTTCATATTTGAAATATTATTAAAGGCATTTTCTACCATCATCTGCATCTTACGATGTAGACTTTGGACGGGTGGACATTTTTAACATTTCCCTTCACTGCTCTGCTCCTATTGATCGTAGCGTGATGAAAAGCATACTATAACCTGCCCAGGAGTATGAAGAATAATTAATTGTATCAAATTTCGTTAAAATCCGTGTAGTAGTTTTTGTTTCTATAACGAACATACAAACAGACAGACAAAAATTTTACTGATTGCATTTTTGGCATCAGTCTCGATCACTAATCACCCCCTGATAGCTATTTTGGAAATATATTTCATGTACAGAATTGACCTCTCTACAGATTTATTATAAGTATAGATTACATTAAGAAAATTATTGTTTCACACTTTTGTACAATTTGAAAACCAAAATATTTTTGGGACGTATTTAACAATCGATGCTCTATCTAGATTTTTTAGTATATTTGATAGAAGATATATTTAAGTTTCTAGCGACTTCAAAAAGAAGGTCGTCGATTCGGTTGTATTTGTTTATATGTTTGTTACCTCATTACTCCACCAGTTGTAAGCTGATTTAAAAATTTCTTTTTTATCTGAAAAAATATACTTACAGATTGGTCTCATAGATATTTTATCACAATCAGTACGGTACTTTAGATTTGAAGTAAAAAAAAAACTGGTTTTGGCTACAACTTAATTTTTTTTGTGAAAAATTATCTTTATTGGTTGTAATTACTGCTTATGAATTTAAATAATTTCCCACCGGTCCAACCGACACTGCTATACAAGTACAGGTGCTCCACGGCAAAACCACTAGTGGGACAGAGGTACCCAGGCAGGTAACTTTAAACTATGTGGATATAATCCCTTTGCTTTTCCAACAAACATTAATTCAATGTTAAACTTTATTAAAATATACATTTATAAACTCAGAAACATTAAACTTGGCTCAATTACATCCGAAACGAGATTTTTTTACCAAATGGTCCGTGACGGCCTCAACACGAACTTGAAATTTGAACAGACAATGGTTCCGTAACATGACTTCACCATAGATCATGTTTGTTGATCGTGTTACATCTACAAAATTAGGCCAAAAGCAACGTAACCATACGTCATGCTATGCTAATTAATAACTATTCAATTCTCATCCATTGTTTGTTTGTAGTAAAACAGCTGTGTTCCGTTTAGAGGGTGAAACGTAGCAATGGAATTGCAGGGTATATGTATGGGGGTATAACATTATATTCAGTGGGGAATAACTGAATAGGTATCCTTTATTTGCATTATACAACATAGAGAATAAAACAAG